CATCCTAATTTTCCTTTTCTTCGGTGGAATTTTGTCGCGAAATCTGCTTTTCATAATCTAAGACACACATATGCTTCTCCATTCGAGCGTATACAATGAGATTGCTTTGATGATGCTGCAACTATTGCTTCGTCTTCTTTATATTTTTATTGCATATCTTTCGATGTGTGTGTGTGTGTGTTCTCGTATGTTTGTGTAATGTCATCTTGACACAATACACTCGTTGTGTTTCATAAATGTTACACATGTGAGACTCATGCATTATGTGAACACCAACACATCCACACCCGCGTCGAACTATCAAAATGTACATTTCTTCCACAGATTCATTTCATTTTTCCTTCAATCTTTTCAAAAGAAAACTTCTGAAGAAAAATTGCTTTGTAAATTGTTTATATCACATTGCATTTTACGCTGTGACACGGGGGGAGGGGCAATTCGAATAGTTTTACATGTTTGGATTAGCGTGTGGAGAGGGGGGGGTGCTTTCGCGACAGTGTAAGAACTGTGGCTCCCAGGAAAATTAAAGAAAACTACATTTAGAATAAATAAATAAATACAATATATTAATAAAAACAAATCAAAATGTGAATTAAAAATTGAAATTTTTGTAAAATTGAATATACAATTTATTGTTTTATTTTTTTTAATTTTTTTTAATATGTAAATATGTGTTACTACTGTAAAATTCCGCATTTTCCCCCCGATACCGCCTCTTGTCCCCCTTTGCAATTTAGTGTGCATGATGATTTTATTCAAATTTTCTTACATATTTTCTTTAGGTTTCCCTCCCCGTTTACCCCTCGTTGCTTGGCTTGCTCTCAATGGCATCGTTTTTCGTTTGTTGCAGGAAAATTTCATGCATGACATGCACGTGATGTGTGTGATTTGAAGCTAAATTTGTTGAAATTAACTATTTTAGAAAATTTCGCTCAAGTGTAAATAATGGCGCGTCATTTCTTCGTTGTATGTCGTGTTGGTGTGGTTATTGTTGTAATGCTGCATCTGATTGAATTAAATTTGCGTTTTTGTTTGAAAGTTAACAAAATCCAAACCCCCACCGAATCCGAAATGTAATCACACAGGAGGGGAACTTCAACAATTGTATTAGCTACTCGTTATCTTGGCATTTTCGGTTAATTTGTTTAATGAAATGAAAATTATGGAAAATGTTTCCTAAAAGTATACTACACATACATGCATATACGCTAGTATCCCTCCAGTGCATAAAAGTATGCAATACAATAGAAAGATTTAAAGTGAGACTTTTAGTTATGATTTAAGGAGATGTAAGAAATGTTTTCTCCAAAGGGGGGACCCTTTGTGGGTTTCTAGTACCCTAATTTATTTTTATTAAAGTCCATAACACATCATCACAATTAAAACCCACTACCCTCTCATCAAAGTGGCACCATATTTCTCTCCTTATAATTTATAGAATTTTTGTGCAAAAATTTAATAAAACATGACCACAAAATTTTAATAGCCATGGGCGGTGTACTTAAAAATTTATGGCCAAACACATTAAGGACATTCTTTAATAACCATAGCCTATTTTTAGGCTTACATTCAACCACTATGGTTTATTTTCATAAGGAAGGAAATGAAATATTATGGCATCTTCACCTGTGGTAATATTAAATAAAATGTCGAAAAGCAAAAAAAAAAAAAAATAAAAAAATCAATGAAAAACAATGCGTACCTTTAACATTTCCGCCATTTCCCAACGGATTTATGTGGACATGACTTGTTTGGTGGTTTTGGGCTTGTAATTAGGCACTCAATATTTGGTGGTTGTACGGTTGGGTAATTAGTCCGTGTAATTGTAATTTTTGGTGAGTGTTGTAAGTTCTGTTGTTTTGCCACAGGAAGTTGTTGACGTTTGTCCTCCACCCAGCTACCCAGGTGGCATGGTAGTAAATATGAATTTTAATTTAGTTTAATTGTCCCACAGGAGGTTGAGTTGTTTCTTTTTTATGCCAATAACATATACTAATAATAGATGAGAAAATTAAATATTTTAATTAAATTAATTAAAAAATAACCAACTTTACATTTATAGAGTGATTTCTATATAAATCATCTGGACTTAATGTATTTGTGGACAAAAGCATTTGCATTTAATCCATAGCTTATTCCAGGGAAGTAGCACGCATTAAGAAGTGCCCCGAGTTTCAAGAAATTTAATTGTAAGCCATACTGCGATATTAGAAATAGTTAAGCCTCTAATAAGCGAACAGAATGTCCGTTGATCACATAACCTGTGAGGGGCCTCTGGAAACATAACAATCAAAAAATATATATTAATTTTTTTCAAAACTACAAGAAAACTCAGTAAATATGAAAGTAGTGCTAAAAATAGAAGACATTCAGGGTGGGATAAAACAAAAACTGCAACAAAGGCAAACGCCATAATTTTTAAATTTTAATTTAAAAGCAAAAATTGTCGGAAATACAGGGTTGCTCATATTCGACGGACCCATCTGGCAACGCCATAACTTTTGACAGAGATGTCACATCGCTTAATGACATACCGCGTTTGAAGCGTCAGTCCAAGCAGATTTTTACCATGAACCAATACACGCCACGCGAAATAGTTGAAATTTACATACAACAGAAGAAGTCAATTGTGAAAACTCAACGTGCTTTTAAAACATTAACAAATGTGAGAAGTGCGCCTTCTAAGAACACCATTAAGCGTTTATACGAAAAATTTTCGACTGGTAAGGCTCTTTCTAATCCGAAGGGGCCATATAAAAGTCGACCAAGGCAATCGGCCGAGAATATCGCTGCCGTACGAGCTAGTGTTGAGAGGTCCCCAAGAACATCCCAAAAACGCCGTTCTCAGCAGTTGGGTATGGCTCGGTCCACTTTACAATGGATTATTTGCATTGATATGCATTTGTTCCCGTACAAAATTCAATTGACGCAAAGAATGTTGCCTGCGGACAAGCCTCGTCGATTGGAATGGGCCCAAAGAGTCATGGGTCCGTCGTATATGGGCAACCCTGTAGCATCGAATTTTTGAATAAATTTAGATTTGCTCGAATTGGTCGCCTTTGGCACGAATTATGGTCTTCAAACGGCCGCTGTCCGAATGTTGCTCTGCGGTATTTTGGTCCATTCCGGCGAAGTGCTTGCTTGAGGTGATCGACACTTTGGTATTTTTTAGTGCCAACCTTGCTTTCCAAAATACTTCAGACACAATAGTCCAACGGATTGGTATCCGGAGATTTTGGTGGCCATTGTGCGCTGGAAATGAAGCGAGAAACCTCATTTTGTAACCATTCTTGGGTGGCGCGTGCTGAGTGCAATGGTGCTGAGTCCTGTTGGAATGTCCAAGGTCTGCGGCCAAAATGATTGCGTGTCCAAGGCTTTAATACACCCTACAGAATATTTTCGCGATAATATTCGGCATTAATTCTGATGCCAAGGTCGATTAATACGAGCGGAGAGCCACCATTTTATGACGGCCCACACCTTCACCATGACCGGAGCTTGAGTTCTGGTGGTCAACCGTTGGTGCACATTTTCAGCTGACCTCTTTGGCAAGTAAACACGATCATTTTGTTTGTTTACAAACTGCTGGCTGGACAACGAATGTTTTCTCATCGGAGAAAACCAAAATCGGCAGTTAACCACTGTCGGCCAAGCGAAGCAACACTAACGCTTTTGAGTTTATTTTCTTTCAGTTGCGGTGTAAGTTCTTGTATTTTTGGAATTTCTGCTCATTTTTCAATATTTGCCGAATGGAATATTGCGATATGTTCAGACCACGAGCCATTTTTCGGCCACTGCGACGCTGGTTTCGATCAAGTCTCTTCTGTACTTATCGAACCTTTTCTGCTGATGTTGCTGTTTTCTTCCGTCCACTTCATTGACGTCGGGCTACGCTACCAGTATCACTGTCACTGGAATAATTTTTTACAGCTGTCGGACGAGTGGCTTAGAAATGACAGCAGTCTGAATTTGGTTTCAGTTTTTTCATCTCACTCTCTATATATTTGGTATCAAAAGGGTTCGTCCTTGGGCCAAATAAATGACTTGTGCAAACTTTCATCTAGATCGGGCGGACGGACATGCATAAATCAACTAAGAATGTGATTCTATGCAGATAATCAAAAGGAACTGTGAGCCTTTTTCGTTTCCTTTTGCCTGTTACGAACAAATGCACAAATACATAATACCCTGACCTGACGTTGTGGTGTAGGGTATAAAAATATAGTTCAGCTCTGGGGCCGAGAATTTTTTTAAACTACTTTAGTAAAAAAATTGGATTTTAAAATCTTATTTTTGTTCTTCATTTGCCTGATGATTATTAAAGAGGACTTTTGGTATTTAAAATGGGTGATGTAGGTCCACGTTTTGCTATAGCCCCCATATAATGGTACCTGGTTTACCCGGTATTTTCGTGATTTAAGCGACATTATTCAACGGAAATGTTTCAAATTCGTATAGCCTCCATATAACGGTACCTCCCGATATTCCGTATTTTGACGATTTTAGCGATATTTTTTAGCGGAATTTTGTCAAATTTGGTGTTTGAAGTTCGTATTAGATATTACAGCCTATGACGGAAGATTGTCTGCGCAGGTCCAGGTCTTCGTATAGCCCCAATATAACGGTACCTCCCTATATTCGGTATTTTGATGATTTTAGCTACATTTTTAATCGAATTTTTTTATTCAAGTTTCGCATTTGAATATTGTAATGGTTTATGACAAAAGTTGCCTATGCGGGTCCACGTCATCGTATAGACCCTAACATTCGGTTTTTTTTAATATTTAACGGATTTTATTTTTTAAAATTGCCAAAATCGTTCCAAATGGTGGAGGGTATTCAATGATTGGCCCGTCCGAACTTACAACTTTTGTACCTGTTCTTAATAGAATATTACTCTAAAGTTTAAAATCTTTAAATATTCATATATAATTAATTATGAATATATTTTATTTGAATATTTTTAAAACATTTCCCCAAATTTTTCATTTTCATTTCAGTTTTATCCAAGGGCCAGGGCGAGACCAGCCGCTATCGTTTTCTGGGCAAATATGGTGGCTATTGTTGGATTGTGACACAGGCCACCATTGTCTATGACAAATTGAAACCACAAAGTGTGGTTTGTGTTAATTATGTCATTAGGTAAGTCCATTATGTTGCCATATTTATATTTTCATACCAAAAAACTTCTAATCATTATTAAACAATTAATCTAAGATAAAGTGTTAATGAGTTGTTTTTAGCGTAAATTTGTTTATAATGTAAGAATTTTGTTTGAGAAATTTGTTCATCAATGAGATGGGTGAAATATTCAACATTATCATAAATGGAATTATTAAATTTAAGGCCTAAAAGTATGCTTTAAGTGAAACCATTGCCAGAGCCTTGAAGTATGCTCCAGCTTAAAAATCAAAAAAGTATGATATTTATCTTTAAAAACTTTTAGATTATCATAAAAGAATTTGAAACTGATTAATTAAAATTCAAAAAATTAATCACTATTCAAAATTTTCAATATTTCCCAAAAAGTAAATGAAACGAAGAATATCCTTGAGGCATTCCCATGTCCATTTATTCACACACACACACAAACTCCATACTTTTTTCCCTTCATTTAAATAAATTCAAAGCAAAAAGTTATGACAAAATTGAAACCCCAAAACGTTAAACGGCAAAGGAAAAAAGTTGCCGGTTTTTATGACTTTTTCCCACATTCCCCATCTCCTCTTCAGTTGGTCCCCCTTTGTTTGTGTTGAGTAATAAATTTTTGGCTTTGCGGTTTCCTTCCTTTTTTTTGGTTCTATAAATTTATGTGACCAGAGTTTTTGTTTTTTTTTGCGTTTGCCACGTGTTTGCAAAACTGGACCATTAAGTAATTCAATTGGTTTCAAAGTTTTAGGTTTTCATATTTATTTTTTGTTCATTGCTTGATTGCTCGAGGTTTCGTTGGAGGTGTGTCGTCTTGTGGGTTGTTTTGGTAAATTGCTTTAAATGTGGGTTGTATTTGAATGGGATGGCAATTTTCGGATTGAAATTTGTAAACCCAATAAATATTTTTCAAACAAAATTGACAAAGTAAAAAGTTTGAGAAGCCTTACGATGTCCCGTGAGGTCATCTACTCTACAATAGATACCCTGTGAGGTCATCTACTCTACAATAGATGCCCTGTGAGATCATCTACTCTACAATAGATGTCCTGTGAGGTCATCTACTCTATAGAAGATGTCCTGTGAGGTCATCTACTCTATAGAAGATGTCCTGTGAGGTCATCTACTCTACAGTAGAAGTCCTGTGAGGTCATCTACTCTACAGTAGATGTCCTGTGAGGTCATCTACTCTACAGTAGATGTCCTGTGAGGTCATATACTCTACAGTAGATGTCCACTGAAGCCATCTACTCTACAGATGTCCACTGAAGCCATCTACTCTACAGTAGATGTCCACTGAGACCATCTACTCTACAGTAGATGTCCTGTGAGGTCATCTACTCTACAGTAGATGTCCTGTAAGGTCATCTACTCTACAGTAGATGTCCACTGAAGCCATCTACTCTACAGTATACGTCCACTGAGGCCATCTACTCTGCAGTAGATGTCCACTGAGGCCATCTACTCTACAGTAGATGTCCACTGTGGCCATCTACTCTGCAATAGACGTCCACTGTGGCCATAAACTCTAAAGTAGACGTCCACTGAGGCCACCTACTCCACAGTAGACGTCCATTGAGGCCACCTACTCTACAGTAGATGTCCACTGAGGTCATCTACTCTACAGTAGATGTCCACTGAGGTCATCTACTCTACAGTAGACGTCCACTGAGGCCATCTCCTCTACAGTAGATGTCCACAGTGGCCATATACTCTACAGTAGATGTCCATTAAGGCCACCTACTCTATTATAGTTGCCATGTGAGGTCATCTACTCTACAATAGATGCCCTGTGAGGTTACCTTCTCTGCATTAGATGTCCACTGAGACCATCTACTCTACAGTAGACGTCCACTGTGGCCATCTACTCTACAGCAGACGTCCACTGTGGCCATCTACTCTACAGCAGACGTCCACTGTGGCCATCTACTCTACAGCAGACGTCCACTGTGGCCATCTATTCTACGGTAGATGTCCACTGTGGCCATCCACTCTAAAGTAGATGTTCATTGATGATACTTTTGTTAAGTAATTACCCTATGAGGTTATCTAGCATACAGTAGATGCCTTATAAGGTTATGAACTCTATAGTACTCTATAGGCCAACTACTCTTCAATAAATGCCTTGTGAAGCTATATTCAGTAGATGCCCTTTAAAAAGTGGATGGTCTCCAAGGGCAGCATATGCATTTGTGACCTACAGATTATTCTCCACTTTCAAGTTTTCTTGAAGTTTTCACCTTCAATGTGTTATTTTTTCCAAACTGCACCTAACATGTGCCTAGAGTTTAGCACACTCACCGACAAGTGTTTTTGCTCGTTCCCCAATTAATATTTCATCAAGGCAATAATTGTTGCCCTTACAAATCTCCCTTTCTGTCAATACAAGCTTCCAGCCTCAGCAGCTACCTGAAACTTTGCTTTTAACGAAAACACAAATCCTTACAGTCTTAAATGACTACCTCCCAAAAGTATGCAACGTTTAACAACTTCCCCGTAACACCAAACAAAAATCTTTTAGATTTTACGCTTGTCAAAGCATCAATGCTGTTGAAAATAATTTATTCACTCAACTTGTCACAGTTTTTTGTTAGGCATAAGTCATTTACATTAAGGCCAAACCAAAGAAGAAGAAGAAAAAAAACGCAACACTCAATGTAGGTACAAAGCCATCTACTTAGGTTTTAATAACTCACACCAAAAAAAAAAAAAACAGCAAATTGAGGCATATTTTAAGGCGCTTAAATTATTCAGTCTTTTTTTATTCGATGATTGTTTCTTTGTTGTTGTTGTTGAGAAGCAGTGGAATTTGTGTTCCTTACTTTGCACTTAATTGAATATATATTGGGAATATCCTTGGCATTGTTAATATGATGAATTGGGGGAATGTGTGTGTGTGTGTGTGGGGGATTATTAAGTGATGGCTTTGTGGTTCTGTAAAGCATACTTTTAAGGTTTTGTATGAATAATTCTGTTTTTTAATGTGATAAGGCTGTTAATACTCCCTCCTCTTTCTTTTTTATGTTGCGATTGGGAAGGGGTGGCCTTTGGGCGGGGAACATAATAATTAACATTTTTTATTACAGCTTTTATAGGTAAGTATAATTTAATTATAATATACTATTAGGCGTTTGTTGTGAATATTTGATCAATAGTTTTAATATTTTTCTCTTTTATCAATGATGAACAAATTTCTTGGCTTAGGGATTTTTTCTTTATTGAATTTTAAGCAATTAAAATTTTGTAAAATATTCCTAATTATTATGCCACTCAATCATTTAATTTTAGTGGCCATAAAATTTTTAATTAATTTGTTTATTTCACAAATTTTATACTTCATTATTTACGTAATTTCTATCAACTGTTTGTCTTTGCCTATTTTACTTACTGGGGGGGGGGGGTGAATTTTGTATAGCTTTCAACCATCATTTATTCTAATTAATGAAGCCATTTAAAATTGTCAAACCGTTTTGGTGAGGTTATTGATTATACGCACTCTTCATTCTCCAAATATATTCCTATCACTCGTCGTGTTTTTTTCCTCTGAATTTTATTAAACGCGTGCCTAAATTTTAATTAAAACCTCATTGCATACACAGTTGAAATTTGTTTACAAATTGATTGAATACGCACCCAATTACCATGACAAAACGTCATCAGCACACACACACACTCCAACACACATGACGTTTATTTAAATTTCAATACAATCGTCATTGAGGTATTGTCTGTTTGTATGGGTGTTGTCGCTATTGGACCAATTGAGTTGCCAAAAAAAAGTTGCACTCAACAGCTTGTTCAGTCTATGATATGTTATACGAGGCTGACAGTGTAAGTGATGGGAAATATGAGACCAATCTTATCTAGTGTGAAATTATAAACACTTTTAAAAAAGACACAAATGATATCTTTTTTTTAAAGAAGGTCTTCTCTAAGACTTTTATCCATGGAAGACCCCTAAAATAAAGGGTGCTTTATGAAGCCCGATAGAACTTGATATTAAACAAAAAATAACACAAAAAATTAAGTTTAATCAATTTTTTTTATTCGAAAGATCAATACCTGACATTAACATTTGAAAATGATTTCGGGCATATGGGCACCCCTGGTGTTCTTGACGAAGTGCCTTCCAATTCTTGGCCACTTTTTCGAGCACGAGTATGTCACGAATAACACGAACAATGCTGGCCTCCAAGGCGTCAATGGTTGCTGATTTATCAGCCTAAACCAGTGACTTCACGTATCCACACAGGAAATAATCAAGAGGTGTCAAATCGCACGACCTTGGAGGCCAATTGACATGTCCACTTCTCGAAATCAACTTATCGCCAAATTTTGATTTCAATAAGTTCTCAATAAGTTGCGTTCGCCGTATTGCCATCCTGTTGAAACCACATGTCCTCCGGATCAATGTCATCCATATTTTTAAACAAAAAATCTTTGATCATAGCGCGGTAACGATCTCCATTGACCGTAACGCGAGCTCCGGCCTCATTTTTGAAGAAATAAGGTCCGATGATGCCGCCAGCGTGAAAACCGCACCATTCGGTGCATGGATGTAATGAAGTCTGTAGTGTCTCTGGTGGATTGTTCTCATTCCATATGCGACAATTTTGCTTATTCACAAACCCGTTAAGCCAAAAATGCGCCTCATCGGTGAACATAATTTTGCGATAAAACAACGGGTCATTTGCCAACTACTCTAGAGCCTGATTATACCCTACACCACAAGGTGATCTGGGTATAATGTCTTTGTGCATTTGTTTGTAACAGGCAAAAGGAAACGATATAGACCCATAGTTCCTTTTGATGATCTGCATAGAATCACATTCTGAGTCGATTTATGCATGTCCGTCCGTCCGTCTGTTTGTCTGTCCGTCTGTCCATTATTATTGTCCTATCCAGATGAAATTTTGCACAAATCATTTGTTTGGCCCAAGGACGAACCCTATTGAAATTGGAGATAATCGGTCAAAATTTAGATATAGCTCCGACATATATCTTCGCCCGATTTGCCTTTTATTGTGCACCAAACGTGTAATATCAGTCCGAATAGTATGGAATTTTGCACGTACGATCAGATTAGGCCAGAAAATAAGTATGCCAAATTTGATCGAAATCGGTTCAGATATAGCTATAGCTCCCATATATATTGTTCATCCGATTTGTTATTTTTGTCCTCCGCAGCCGTAATATGCACTTTGTAACAACAATATTTGGGGAAATATATCATATGCAACTCAGAAATACCTTTGCTAAATTTTATCGAAATCGGTTCAGATTTGGATATAGCTCCTGTATATAACTTCGTCCGATTTACCTTGGATTGTGCACCAAACGTCTAATATTTGAAATTTGGCACTTACGACCGAATTGAGTCTAGAAGCTAGTATGTCAAATTTGGTGAAGATCCGTTCAGATATAGCTATAGCTCCCATATATACTGTTCATCCGATTTGTCATATTTGTTACCCACAGCCGTAATATGCACTCCGTAACAACGATATTCAGGGAAATATATCAAATACAGCTCAAAAATATCATTGCTAAATTTTATCGAGATCGGTTCCGATTTGGATATAGCTCCCATATATATGTTTATACTATTTCAATTTAATTGTGCACCAAATGGGCAATACAAGTCCGAATTTAAAAGATGCAAATGCTTCGGCATATTTAGTCTTTTGAACTTTAAATTACAATTATAATCATAGCGTGTATGATTGAATTCTCCCATAAAAACTTTTAATTGTTATGCGCAGCTCTACTAAATTAGCAAAGTGGTGTAGGGTATCATAAAGTCGGCCTCGTCCGACTTTAAGACTTTCTTTACTGGTTTTCAAAGTAAATTTGGATAATTTCGACGCGTTTTTCATTCAAGCTTGAGTCTATTCATTATGATTTGTCTGAATATACTGGAACAAATAAAAAAAAGTTTCATCAAAATTTAATTTTTTGTGTTACTTTTTACAATTTAAAGTTCTATCTAGCTTAAAAAAAAAACACCCTTTATGTTATATCTATACAGGGTGAGCAAAAAAAAACTGCATCAAAGTCAAACGCCAAAATTTTTAGAAATTTTTTTTAATTTTTTTGTATGAAAGCAAAAAATGTCGGAAATAGCATCAAATTTTACAATAAGTTTAGATTTGTTCGAATTGGTCACCTATGGCAGGAATTATGCCCTTCGGCCAATGAAACCGACACACGCTGCCCTAATATTTCTATGAGGTAGTTTGGTCCATTCCCGGCGAAGCGCTTGCTTGAGGGGATCGACACTTTGGTATTTTTAAGTGCCAACCTTGTTTTCTAAAATACTCCGGACACAATAGTTCAACGGATTGGTATCCGGAGATTTTGGTGGTATATTGTGCGCTGGAAATGAAGCGAAGAAACTAATTTTGTAACAATTTTTGGGTGGCGCATGCTGAGTGCGATGGTACTGAGTCCAGTTTAAATATCCAAGGCCTGCGGTCGAAATATTTGAGTGTCCAAGGCTTTAATACACCCTCCAGAATATTTTCGCCTGCTTGAGGGGTGCCACATGTGTTTTCCAGACAAATGTGTTTTTCCAGACAAATATAAAGAAATCACACTATCACGCTTGAATTCCATCACGACGATCATTTTTTTCTGGAAAATTATCACCAAAATGCTTTTGTGCGCTTGTAAACAATATAATGAGCTGTCACTAGAATAATTTAAACAGCTGTCGGACGAGTGGTTTAGAAATGACAGAACTCTCTGAAGTTGTTTGTAGTTTTTTCATCTCATCCGGTACTTTTCGAATTGTCCTCCAAGACAATCCCTGTTGTGTGTTTTAATCAATAACTATTATTTCCTTTTCCTTAAATTTATATACCAACCTCGTTTGATGTGATTATGTAATATCGTGTTATATTTTTTATACCTTCAGCCCTACATTGCTTTTATTACGCATTCATTCTTTCATTCATTCCGAGTTTTCCGTTTATTTTTTCAGTTCATTCTCTGAACTTTAATTTTCGTTTAACTTGTTTTCGTTTTTCTTCTCTTCCGATTACAATGCGTTTCAATTCTATGTCATTCTGTTTTTAAATTTGTGTGTGTGTGACTTAATTATAGCCCACAAACGGTTGATTACACGTTTAAATATGTTTGCTTGTGTTTTGTTTTCCGGTTCACTGCCGCCCATGTTTTTGGGCAATTTACCAAAAACAATGTACACTTTTCCTCACCGATCTTTCGCTCTAAATAGACGTTGTTAAATTGTAATCATTTGTGACGAATTATGTCTAAATTCATTCTTTTCAGTTACCATTTATACATGCCATCGGTTGCCTAAGGAAATTTGAAAGATTTTTAAAAGAGAGTATCCTTTTAGAATGTCGTAATAATTTCCCCCCTCATGATTTTTTTATTTTAATCAGCTTTATGAAATGGGTTACAGTTTTTTTTTTTTCAAAAAAACAAATTAAAGGTTATAGCTTATTTAGTCGGTTATAGCCCTAACTGTTCTTGAAAAAAATATTCTTTTAAAATCCACAATTATAGCTATAATCGTTCTTAACGAATTTTTGATTATAGCTCTGATAAAAAAAATAATAATAAAATCAATGATTATGCATCTGAATGTGCCTTAATGTACCACTTGTGTAGCTCATTTAAAAATATTTTTAAAAAGTTAATGATTATTCTTCAGATAGTCCTTTAAATAACTGCTCTGATAGTTTTTCCAAGAATTCTTAAAAAATCTACGAATACACACCTGATATTCCCTTAAAAAAAAAACTCCTAAAAACCAACTGTTAAAGCCCTTCCAAAAATGCATATAAAATCAGGATTGCAGCTCTTTCAAAAAATTAAAATAAATCCACAATTAATGTTTCAATAGTCCATCTAAAAATTCTTAAAAAAATCCAGGATTACAGCTCTGAAAGTTCTTTCCATTGTTTTTAATCACGATTACTGCTCTGATTGTCCTTCCAATTCTTTTTTTTTTTTTTTCAAAATGCTCGTTTACAGATTTATATGGTCCTTCACAAAATTCTAAAAAAAAAAGTTTGCAGTACTCTAAAAGTCCTAAAAATTCTTTAAAAATCCACGATTACAGTTCGGATAGTCTTTCCTATGAATCTTGAAAAAAATCCATGGATACAGATCTTAGGGTCTTTCCGAAAATTCCTAAAAAAATACGTAATTGGTGCTGTAAAATTCTGCCACAAAAAACACAACTCTGTTAGGCATTGAACAAAAAAAAAATAAAAAAAAGTTCCGAAAATTCCTAAAATATTCGGGATTACTGCTCTGAAAATTCTTCCAAAAATTGCAGCTCTGATAGTCCTTAAAAAAAAAAAAAAAACTTACAGTTCTTCAAAAAATTCTTAAAAACTTCTTTCAACAAAAAAAAAATATTTAAAAAATTAAAGGATTACATAACTGATAGCCCGTCTAAAATTTCTTCAAAAAATCTACGACTACAGCTCTAAGGGTCATTTCGAAAAATCTTAAAAAAGCATGTCCGATAGTCCTTCAAAATTACTGCTCTGAAAATTCTTCCAAAAATTACAGCTCTGATAGTCCTTTCAAAAAAAAAAAAAAAAACAAAAAAAAAACAAAAAAAAAAAAAAAACTTACAGCCTGTTCCACGATCTCGAAAGAAAATTTGTGCGAACGAAGGCTACTCACTCACTTTCGTATAAAAATGCGTTCCACTAACTTTCGTTCTTTCTTTCGCATAGCCTTACGTGATTCAGTGTTGCTAAATATTTTTTTGGAAAAATTAATCGCGAAATAAAGCAAAAAAAGCGTCAAATGTCTAATTTAAACGCGAAAAAGCAGCAGTGGCTCTTTCTCAACTGACATTTCAGTTGTAAACAAACAAATTGTAAATAAACAAACAAAATAAAATTTCTAGTGATTGTGTTCAAACTATTTGTGCTCTTAGAAAATAAAAAAAAGAATATTTCCGTAGCCCTATTTTTTATGGAGGAGGTTCGAAATGTGCCACGGAGGCATTTAGGAGATGCTTCGAATTTATTTGAAGTACCTAACAACCAGTAAGTATGATTGTATTTTTACATTTTTGAAATAATAAAAAATGATTTTTTCTAGGTTTGTGGCCAACTTTCGTATGTCGAAGGAAGTTTTCGGACTCTTTTGGATATGATGGAAGAGAAGTGGGTGCCCTGTTGCAGAACTACCCAAATCCGCCCCGATTTAAAACTTCTTCTGCTGCTTCCAAAAATTGGCATTCCTCTGGCCAATCCACAGGATTCTCCTCCATTTACTCAACTAGTGCCCGCAGCTGTGTAGTTGATGATTTTTTCGTGCTGGAATTGAGAAAATAAAAAAAATATATATTTGTTGTTCACATATTAAATTGCATTTATTATTTTTACTTACATTTTTGTTTCCATTTTCAATCAAGCAATGTTTATGTTAAAACAATTTTCCTTAATTGTTATTATACGATAGCAAACACACAAGTGACTGATTTTGACATTTGTGTTCGCATGCGTACGAAAGAAAAAAGATAGTGGAACGCAAAATTACACTGAAATGCTTACGTTTTCGTTCGCTTCGATTTTCGTGCAAATTTTCGTTCTGATAGATTTTAGTGGAACGGAAATCAGCTGTTTGTCGTGTAAAAGTTGTGCGAACGTGTTCTTTCGATATCGTGGAACTGGCTGTTACAGTTCTTCAAAAAGTTCGTAAGAACTCCTTCCAAAAAAAAAAAAAATAATTAAAAAAAAAGGATTACATATCTGATAGCCCGTCTAAAATTTCTTCAAAAAATCTACGACTACAGCTCTAAGGGTCATTTCGAAAATTCTTAAAAAAGCATGTCCGATAGTCCTTCAAAAAATAAAAAATCTTTAAAATATAATAGGCATTTAAAAATTATTTTCCAAAAAAAAATCTTTAAAAGATTAATTTCCTAATTTTTACCAAATTTAAAAAAAAAAAACTAATATTTTTTTAAAAAGTTCTTACAAATAGTTCTTCAACAATTGTTCAACATTATTAAAAGGAATCTTGTAAAATTCACAATTTTGCTTTAAGTCCTTAAACCTAGCTCTGACAGTTCATCACAAAATATTCTTGAAAGATGCATAAACAGCTCTTCAAAAATGTCCTTAAAACTCGATCGTAGCTCTCATTGTCCTTTCTTAAAAACCTTCAGAAAAAATTATTAAATGTTCATTATTTTTAGTTCGATAGTCCTTCAAATACAGGGTGAGATAAAAAACAGCAATAAAATCAAACGCCATAATTTTTTTTTTAAATTTGCTTGAGGTGATCGGCAATTTGGACTTTTTTATTGCCAGCCTTGCTTTCCAAAGCACTCCAAGACAAAATAGTTCAACGGATTGGTATCCGGAGATTTTGGTGGCCAATGTGGGCTGGAAATGAAGCGATGAACCTCATTTTGTATCCTTCTTGGCCAGAGCGTGCTGAGTGCAATGGTGCTAATTCCTGTGGGAATATCCAAGGCCTGCGGCAAAAATGTTTGCGTGCCCATGGTTTTAATACACCCTCCAGAATATTTTCGCGATAATATTCGGCATTTATTCTGATGGCACGACCATCGGCTGTTATGGCGGCCCACACCATCACTATGGCCGGCACTTGAAATTTAAATTTAATTTAAAATGTATTACACTTTTATGGCATTTAATTAACTATAAAAATTACTAATTAAAAATATTATTTTTAATTTTAATAAATTTTCACAAACTATGCCAACATTTAACATCTGCCGTGAACAAAAAATTAACATTTAGCCAAATCGAAAAAAAGAATCTAAATTACAATTTCAACAATTTGTCACAACAACATTTTCTGTTGCCAGTTTTCCCCTCTTCGTATCACCCAGAAAATCACCAACCACTTCTTCCAACTACTTGTGGCCATGTAGCAGGCCACATCTTTCTTTTTCTTCCTTCATTCTTAGAAGACTTTTTGACATACTTTTTGATTCCTTTCAAGTGTTGCGGGAGAGGGATAGTGACGGAGAGAGAGAGATAGGAATTGCCATTTGACTAACAATGAGACTGCTTGGTGACGACCATTTATTTATTTGCGGAGGCACTAAGAGGATTGATTTTTATTATATTTGGTATGGCCTGATGATTTGATTTAGGTTGGTTGGCACAAAACCATTTTCACTTTTTATTTGTTCGCTACGGCAACGAGATGACCAAAGATTTATTCGAAGGCAAAAAACAAAAACGAAATCAACAAAAATACCAAACAGAATTCAAGAAAAAAGTTACGACTAAGCAAATAAATGAAACAAATACCCGAGCAAACAGAAAAAAAAACAGAAGAAAACATAAATAAGTTAAACAAAGCATTACAAAAATAGGACATGACATGAATTTTTGTCTTGATATTGTTTTTTTCTTTCTTCTGTCAATATTTTATGGTTACAATTTAGCATAGACTTGAAAACAAAATAAGATTCATCCGACATATTTCACATACGTTTCTTTGTAAACAAAATAACAACAATGAGAAGCAAAATGATGTAATGGTAATACATACATCATTTATACAAAATATATACTTAAAACACTCCTCGTTTGTGACGCAGAGAATCCTTGAAAATTTGAATATATGCCTTAGAAAATCGATAATATCTGCCTTATAGAATTCTTTAAAGGTTCTCTTTGAAAAATCCATTTTGTACATTGAGTCCTTAAATTTTCTTAAATTTTGAACCTTAGAGTCCTTAAATTTTCTTAAATTTTGAACTTTAGAGCCCTTAAATTTTCTTAAATTTTGAACCTTAGAGTCCTTCAAGTTTCTTTTCCACGCTTGTTCTGCAGAGTCCTTAAATTTTCTTTTTGACAAATCCACGTTTGCACCTCAGACAATTACTAATTTTCTTTTTGAAAAATCCACGTTTGCTCCTCAGACAATTACTAATTTTCTTTTTGAAAAATCCACGTTTGCACCTCAGTCAATTACTAATTTTTATTTTTGAAAACTCCACGTTTGTACATCAGAGTCCTTATATTTTCTTTTTGAAAAATCCAAGTTTTTACCTCAAAAAATCCTTAAATTTTCTTTTTGAAAAATCCAAGTTTTTACCTCAAAGAATCCTTAAATTTCGTTTTGGAAAAATCCACATTTTTACCTTAAAGAATCCTGAAATTTCCTTTTTGAAAAATCCACGTTTTTACTTCAAAGAATCCTTAAAATTCCTTTTTGAGAAATCCACGTTTTTACTTCAAAGAATCCTTAAAATTCCTTTTTGAAAAATCCACGTCTGTACCTCAAAGAATCTTTAAATTTCCTTTTTGAAAAATCCACGTTTTTACCTCAAAGAATCCTTAAATTTCCTTTTTGATAAATACACGTTTTTACCTCAAAGAGCCCTTAGATTTTTTTTTTAAATCCACGTTTATACCTCCGAATCCTTACAATTTTTTCCCTAAAAATCCATGTTTATGTCTCTAAGGATCCTTAGTTTGTATAAAAAAAGTTCACTTTCGTGATTCAAAAATCCTCAGGGAATACCTTTTTAAAATTGTTCTATTTTTTAAAATCCCCGTTTGTGCCTTAAAATGTTCTTCAAAATTCTTTAAAAATAGTCCTTATAGAATACTTAACATTTTATTCAAAAAAAGCGAGATTGCTCCTTTTAAAATTTAGCTTTGACAAATTCTATTTTGTGCCCCTGTGGCTCCTTGTTTTCTTGCCTCAGAGTGTCCTTCAAACACATTACAGTAAATACACACGTGATGCTTAGAGAGACCTTCTTAAAAATTCCAGATTGTGGACTGGAAGACAGGAAGACTCTCACAAAAATAGTTTCACAGATCTAAATTTAAAGTTTACAAATCTTCAAAAAAATCAAGTTAGTTGCTTAAAAAGTCCCTAAAAATCTTCCTATAAACTGGTTTGTGGTTTGGAAGGAGAGCATCCTTCAAAGGCATTTAACAAAAGCTGTACTCTTGTGCCTCAGAAACGATAAATATTTATAAAAATTTCAGAAGGAACTCCTGCAAAATTGTTGTATAAAAATCCATGTTTGTAGCATGGAAAGTTCTTTGAAAACTATTCAAAAAAAAAAAAAATTAAGTTTGTGGTTTAGAAAGTTCTTTAGAAAATAAATATGTAAAATAAGTATTGCTCATCATTTTTTTTTATTAATTTTTGTGGCCCTTTAAATATTCCAAAAAATATTTTTGATATTTGTGCCCCTGAAAAATTCATCCAAAAACGTTTTGAAACACCACTTTTTCCACTTAGAATGTCTTGAAAAAATCAAGTTTGATTCTTAAAATGTCCTTGTTAAAGGTATTCTTAATATCTCTCCAGAAAATCCCTTTAAAAATCTATGTTGTGGCTCTGATTTTTTTTTTTTTTTTTTTTTTTGCAACAACCTATATTTTCCATTTTCTTGCATGAACCAGCCATTTTCAGTTTATGATTTATTGCTTTTTTCGAAAGAAAGAAAGTCAGTTTAAATAGCACCCAAAAGCAAATTAACACCACTCAAAATCAAAATCTCACTAAATGAAAGAAAATCAACCCATCAGCCTAAGGCAGGATGAAAAGCAGGAAGAAAAAACTTTTCTCAACAATACCTAGCTCATAAAAGTTTTCAGGCTCGTGCAAAAGTTACTTTAACAAATAAATAAATGCCTTTAGCGAGTGGTTGTTTTAAAAGGGGTGTAGTAATAAGTGAAAGATATTTACAGCACAACTATGTATGTAGAAGACAACACGTAATGCAGCACCACCATCTCCTATCATCTTCCTCCCCGAGCTCCACTATTATTAGCATCCTTATTTTTAGCTTCAAATATTTTTCCAGGAAAAACTTTATTTGTCAGATTAATACTTTAATTATTATTTTGTTTTACACAATTGTAGTTCTGTCTGCTGCTTCAAGCATTGCTGTGTTCAGCGATTTTTACAATGACATAAAAGTCTGGCTTTATCTTGAAATTTTGCAGACAACAAGAGCACTACTGTTGTGATAATAAAATGTTAATTTAATTATTTTAGACAAGTACTTTTCCAAGGGAATGTATTTGAAATATGTAGAGGAATCCATTGTGGCGTATAATTGATGATAACTCAGAATACATGGAGACGTATACTGAATGCGACCGAATGATAATTACTCATACGCAATATTTTATTAGTAAATTTTAAAACAATAATTTATATTTAGAATATTCTTTTCAAGGACTTTGGGAAGAATAGTTGTTGATTGCCGTAAATTACATTTTCAAAGACTTCTGAAGCACAAAATTTGAATTTTTTAAGAACTATTCTCAAGAGAATTTTTTCTTCAGCAGCACAAATTTTTGTGGTCATAATCGGAGAATTTTCTAAAAAAAATATACATATTTCTATGAC